CATTGAGTCAATCACCAAACCTACTCTACAAGTCCAATTCAGGAACAAAATGAAGTTCTCTCTCGCCACCATCACCGCCTTCGCCGGCGCCATCAGCGCCGCCAGCCTTCCCGACGCTTTCACTCTGGTTGCCGAGGGCGGCAAGACCGTCCTGACCGATGGCCAGAACGCCTACATCAATGCCAACACCACCGACCATGAAATCCTGATCCGTAAGCATCCACCCTTTCATGGTCTCGATCCAACCTCTGATATAGTGCATTTCTAGTCCGTGGCGGCAGCCCCAACGGCCTCGTCTCATACACTGCCAAGAACGCTGTTCCCACCGCTTTCCAGAACCTCTACATTGTCGAGAACTCTGTAGAGCCCCTTGGGCTGACCCTGCCTCACTCCGGCGCTGTCCCCGAGGGCGGCAACACCACTGGATTTGGTGTCAACGACCAGGGTCTGTTCACTCATGGCGGCAAGGCTTGGTACGCCATTGACGGCTACGGCGAGAACGAGATCAAGGAGATCTTCTGGTACGGTGCTCACAACGCCGAGTACCGCGGTGAGAAGCTCTATGTTAAGGAGCTGAAGAACTACTCCGCCTAAATATCTACGCCAGTTTGACCCTGGATTGATATGATAGAATAGCTTAAGGGTTGCTTGTGCTTTAGGTGTTGGCATACGACTTTGACTACTGGGTCATTCCATTCATTAATACATGTATACATCACGGATAGCGAAATTAAAGCAGCTGAAGCTTCGCCAAAGTTGATTCTATCTCCCATGAAAATAACCTACTTAGTTTCTTGTATACATACATTCAAATTGGAGCGGTCTACGAAAGGTCATCCAATCAATGCCTTGATAGTAGTTTCGTAGCTCTCCGGTTCACGCCCTAAGATCTCGCCTAGAGCCGGAGACACAACTGCAGCCTCACCGTGCCTGATAGCCTCCCAGGCCGTAGCCCACTCCCTCGACAGATTAACCCCCTTATATGTATGCTTATCACCAATCTGAGGAAGATTGACATACTCATCGACAGAGATCTCACGAATCTTAAGCGGTTTTCCAATCGTCCGACCGATAACCTCAACCGTCTTCGCAAGGGAGATCTCCCGAGACCCAGAGAGCAGAAGAGCTTTGTTCACATACTCGAATCCAGTCGGATTATTGACATACGAGGCAATCAACTTAGCGGTTGCCTCGCCCAGCTCATCGCGCTTGACCCACGACACGCCTGGACCTGTACCGGAGTGAGGGATCGCCACGTCGTCGGTTGGATTCTGCGGATCGAAGAACGCGGTATAGATCGGGAAGGATTCAGTGTAGAGACCCTCCCGAACTATGGTGTAAGATACCTTGTCTTGCAGAGAAGCGAGGTATTTCTCTGTTTCGATGTGGGCGCCCATCACATGAGCGATGGTCTGGTTGGTTAAATCACCGCCAAATCCAAGAGAGGAGTAGAATATGTGCTTGACGCCGCTCTCGATGGCTGCATCTATAGCAAGTCGGTGCGCCTGATTATGGTTGTTAGGCTAACTACTTAGATGGGCAATATCACTTGACTTTTCTTACCTTAACCCTGTGATCTATTTCGAATGATGCATATGAAACCAGCATCAATACATCTACGCCTTCAAAGGCTGTTTCCAATGTCGATGGCTCATCATAGTCGGCTCTGCGTACCGTGGCGCCAGCTTGCTTGAGATCGTGCAGTTTCTCGGGGTGCCGGGCACTCAGAACTAGGTCGGATTCTGGGACTAGTTTCACCAGGTAGTTCACAATGCTTGATCCAAGAGCCCCAGAGGCGGGAAAGACACCGATTTTGGCACCCATGTTGATATAAGGGGAGGATGTTAGAAGGGTAACTCAGGTAGCAGGCTGTAGTGGGGAATTTCCGATGATCGGCACCCTTTACCCGGAGATTTCCCGAGCCCTTTATGTCCTGCATTTCATAGTCGCATGCTTATAAATAGAGATTTGTATTCGCTCTATGACAGCAATGACCCCTGTGCTTGGTTTCTCTATAAATCCATGGATGATCGATCCATTGCATTTTTAACAACGAAGATTGCTAATACACCACTCCCTTGGGCCATGTTTTCACCGTTTTGGGGAAATTCAAGTATGTTCTACCTAAATGGGTGTAGTGGACCCCCTTAAAATACATTGCTTGCTCAGCAGATAGATAACCCAAACGTTGGACAGGGATGTTGTGGGCAGGGATCTTGAGGCTTCAAAGTTCTTTCATTCGTCAATCGTGATTTCAAATAGCAAGAGATGAGAGATGTAATTCTAAACGCCAAACCCGTAACGGAAAAATGAACCAGAAAGAGATTGGTTTAATCATACTCCGAACTCAATTAGGAATACCTCCAGTTCCGAACAATTCCATCTTGATGCGATCGGCCCCCACGCCCTTGGCCTTGAGACCCGACTCTATATCAGTCATGAACTTTCCGGGTCCACAGATATAATAATCTGTCTTTACATCGTCAAGGAACAAGTCCTGATCCTCCAACTTGGTTAGGTCTACCCGCCCGGCATGGTCATAGTCCACACTTTCCGTCTCTTCCTCGGATGGATGGCTAGTGAAGAATGTTGTTTGAATGGAGGGGAACTGCTTTGGAAGCTCGGAGATGTGCTTCTTGAAAGCTCGCGCGCCCGACGAACGTGCGCCATGAATGAAATGCACTTTGCGCGTTGTGGGTGATTTGGAAATCAACGTGTTCAAAATCGACGTCAGTGGCGTTAGTCCCACACCAGCGGAGATCAACACGATCGGATTGCCGGTTTCCGAGTCGACCGGGGTAAGGAAAAAGTCGCCGTAGGGGTGGGAAACATTGAGTTTGTCGCCAATGTTGAATGTATCGTGTAGCACATTGGAGATGTAACCGGGATGGGCGGCATCACCCGGAGCGGCAGGGCTATGGCCTAGTTCTCTCTTCACACTGATGCGATAGTAGTCCGGCTTGGGCTGGTCGCTAAGAGAGTACTGTCTAGCCTGTAGGTACTTGAGAGCTGGGACGTAGGTTTGGATGGAAATGTATTGGCCGGGCTGGAAGGCCGGTAGTGGCTTTTCATCGACCGGGCCGAGATAGAAGGATGTGATCTCCTCGGATTCCTGGACTTTATTCACAATCTTGAATTCTCTCCAGTCAGTCCAGCCCTCAGCGTGTTCATAAAGCTGATTTTCGCGGCCGATCATGATATCCGCGAGCTGCCAGTAGGCTGTGCCCCATGCATCGTGAATTTCTGGGGTCAATTCCTCGCCGAGCACCTCGCCCATGGCCTCGAGGAGGTACTTGCCAACGATCTTGTAATGGTCGGGCTTGATATACAAAGACGCATGCTTGTTGCAGATCAACTCAACCGCTGAGCTTAGTGCGCCAAGGTCATCGATATGCGATGCATATGCGTAAAGTGCACCTGCCAATGCACGAGGTTGATGGCCGTTGACCTGGTTGGCGGTGTTGAACACGGTGTTGAGCTCCGGGTGGGCTTCGAGCATGTTGCGATAGAATACAGTCGTTATGGTGTTGCCATGTTCGACGAGAACCGGAATTGTCGCCTTAATGAGCGCGATTTGGTCTGGGGTCATCCCCGGATTGGAACCCATGATGAATGGATCTGTTATATTTGGGTGATTGGGTATAGGAAATGTTTGGTGTCTGCACTATTCAACGACTGGTGCAGGGGTTAAATATAAACAACAAATTGAAATATGTGAGTAATAAGAAACCAGCTGTATTTGGTTGGTTGTCCAGCTATTTATCTCCACTGTAACCGGACCGTGACACGTAAACGACGGGATTTGGAAACTTCGGAAGGTGTCTGGCATGATCCGTAAATATTCCCAGGGCCGAAGTGAAGACATCTCCGCGGAGTGCTCCGCGGAGAGGGGGATGAAACGCAGAAAGGGATTAACTCGGGCTGTTTTCGCAAATTGCAACTTGCAACGTGTAACTGATAAATAAAGTTCTGTCGCCTGTTTTATGTTCCTGAAGTCCACGTGGAAAACAATTTGAATAAGGTACATGTAGATATCTACGATACATGATAGACTGGAATCTGGCCCATCTGTCAGTCTCGATCTATATCTTCATCTTCCGTCAGAAGTGGGGTGATGATTCAAGCTCACTGGAAAGGAAAAAAAAATCGAAAAAAAGAGGATACCAGCTCTCTGTGTTCATAATTTGGAAAGCTCTGGCGTTATCTCAATTCCCGATTGGATGCCTGCCTGAAGGCGAACTAGGTATGCCCTGTAATCACAGATCTTCCAAGGTTCCAAGGCAGAGTACATGCATATATATTTCGTCCAAGATAAGGCCCAAATGCAACCTCCCCAAAATTGAGAAATAGAGACGAAATATCCATGTCGATAAGGCTGTCTATCTTTTCGTTTCTTTTTTTCCTATGGGCCTTATCTTGGACTGACGATATTCCACAGAAAATCATGTGACCGCCAATTGTGCAAATGCCAAGTCGGATTGTCCGTTTGGTCGTGTGTTACAGAATTACATAAAAATACATAAAACTTTGTGTATTTCGGTTATTATACACCACCCCGCATACAGAGCCACCACACATTGTCAGGCCACACGCGAGAATGTCGTCGGGGCCAAACGGCCCGATTTCTGCCGCTCAATTAGGTAAAATTGATTACCCATTTAGGTAGGTACTCCGGAGGCTAAATATGCCGGCTCTGGAGCTGCGCAGGTGACCTTGGGAGTCATGGCAGAAGATACAACATATGTCTGAATGCTTCGGACTCTGTACTAATGAGAAATGCCGTTTTAACCGTCCTGGAGCTGCGAGGTACTGAATACAAGATTCATCATCTCCATTATTTGGCGCCAAGATCCTATCATAGTCCAGTCCTTCACCAGCTTCGAGGTGATTCATTAGATCAGCAAACCTAATATGCGAGAACTCTAATATATAGCAACGGTAAAGTCCGAGCTGTCAAACCCTAAAGGCGTTCATGCGAGATCTTTTGGGTCTAGATCTCAATGTTCGACGCTGGCCCAATCACAGGGTTCTGGAAACACATGGAGAAGAGCGATACTTACCTAGGTATACACCTAGCCATTGGACAATCCGGGGAGAATGACGTGTGGGGAGGTCTAGACATTCGACTTTCACAACCGTTTGCGGAAGTCGGGATGCTCTGGGATATCCCATTCAACGGCTATTGACTCCACCAGCCAACTGCCAAAATCCTAACTTTATTATCCCACTCTACACAGGAAAATTATATATGAGCCCATTTGATAACTGGTAAAAGGGACTACTGCCATAAAATAGGCTGAATCGTGGTTGAGTCAAGGGCTAATCGATCATACCTGGACCAGTCGCAACACCGTCCGTATTGAGTAGTGACGTCTGCGATATGCGAGAGTTGTAACGCGTAAACATCGATGGATGATAGAAGAGGCTGCGATGTTCTCATTCTGACGAGACGCTAGTCAACTCCGACTTCAATTAATTCTCTTTATTGCAAATCCCTCACCTCTCGTGATGCCGTTCAGGAAGCGCTCGTCTGATGCCTCGACGCTCGGAGGGTCGCAGGGAAATAACCAGCTGGTTATGCTGCGGCTCCCAGACAAGCTGCAGTACAACTTACTATGTCTGATGGGCGAGTTCGTGGGGACTTTCCTGTTTCTCTTCTTTTCTTTCGCGGGTACACAGGTGTCCAATACCCCCATGCCGCCACCTGGCTCCCCGCCAAATACTTCTAACTTGATGTATTCCGCACTTTCTTTCGGGTTCGCTTTGACGGTCAATGTCTGGGCGTTCTACCGAATCACGGGTGGTCTTTTCAACCCGGCGGTATGGATATCACCACACAGTAAAGGGAATATTTGTAGCTGACATTCACCAGGTTACTCTTGCCCTCTGCCTGACTGGTGGCATGCCCCCTCTCCGGGGGTTGTGTGTATTCCCTGCGCAATTGGTCGCCGGAATTGCGGCGGCGGGCGTGGTGAGTGCCCTGTTCCCAGGCCCGCTAAACTGCTCGACACGACTCGGCGGTGGCGCATCAATTGCACAAGGACTCTTCATTGAGATGTTCTTGACGGCGCAGCTTGTGTTTGTCATTATCATGTTGGCGGTGGTGAAGCACAAGTCCACCTATTTGGCTCCAATAGGAATCGGACTGGCTTTCTTTGTTGCAGAACTGATTGGTAAGTATCTATCATATCGGAATCCTTCACGTATTGTGCTGACCCTTCACACTAGGTGACTACTATACCGGAGGGTCTCTCAACCCTGCTCGTTCCCTCGGACCGGATGTGATCAACCGCTCGTTTCCAGGATACCACTGGATCTATTGGGTCGGTCCTTTGCTTGGATCCCTTCTTGCGTCTGGTTTCTATCACCTCCTGTGTATCGTGCGCTGGGAGAGGATCAACCCCGGTCAGGATTATAACGAGGAAGAAGTAGCCAGGAAGGAGTCATTGGTTGGTTCTGAGAATACCATCACCGCCAATGTCGCTCCCACCCAAAATACCAGAAGAGATGTACCGTTCGATGAGCATGTTTAATGCTGCTGCATGGTCGGAAGTGCCGCTCGGTGGAAACCCGACGATTGTTTCGCCTCGACGACCATAGCCGACGCAACCTTGGGTTCGCTGAACCAATTTCCCTATGTATATAGTGAAACCCCTCGATGGGATGCAGTGACTTCGCAAATGTGTTAACACACCTCTATTACCGTCTCTTCCTAATTTATTATACCGCCTTCTGAAATAGATATACCGCCTATTACCCCTTACCCTTTCATTAGCGGATATTTAACCGGCATAATTTGAGGTGCTAATTGTATGCAACATATCTGAGTTAATATTTGAGACTGGCAATGAGGGCGTGAATATTTAATCGATGTCAATAAGTATAGTTGAATTGGAAGCATATCAAACACTTATTGGCACTTAAGTTGGCTGATCTGCACGATTCACTTAGCTCGTGCAACCCAATGGGCTGAAATGGAGCTGTGATTGCCTTGGAATTGGCGCAGATCACCCGCCGTCATAACGCTAACATTCTCAATACATAGTCGCGAGGTTTGAAGTGGACAATGTCTCACATTCTCTGCAATTCAAACGCAGGGGCCGTAATTCCGCTTCACGCCCTGTTCCCTGCAGGAAACCGCCATTATTGGAGTCCACCACCGATGGTTGGTCAGTCTTATCTTTGGCGTTAGAAGACGAGTTTCACTATCCACATCGCTTGACTTGACTCCCAATTGATTTGGCATTTAAGTCATCTATCCTCTCCATGTCTGCCCGAACAGCCACAGTCTGAGTCGTGGTGTTCATGATGGACTTGCAACCCGTCGACCCCGAAGCGGTCACCCCAGTCGCGACCGACGCGATGGCAGATGTCGGGGATGTGCAGCTGCTGGGTATAATATTGTGCCTTTTTTTTTGGTGAGGAACACTGGTCGCTGATGCCTTTTCTAGCACGGATGGGCTACAAACAGGAACTTCGTCGGCAGTATTCCACCACGCAAGTTTTCGCAATCGCATTCAGTATCATGGGCCTGGTGCCCTCAATCGCGTCGACGCTCTCGTTTTCTCTCCCCGCGGGTCCGGTCGGGATGGTCTGGGTAGGGGTTGAACCCCCATGAGTCTGGTTGTGATGTTGGTTGACTGGGATTATGGAATAGGGATGGTTCACAGCGAGCATATTCATCTTGTTGGTTGGGCTGGCAATGGTAGAAATCTTGGTTGGGGCTATCTGGAATTATCGCACTGATATCACCTAGGCTGATCTCGCGTCTGCCATGCCGACAGCTGGAGGACTATATTGGTGGACACATTATTTCGCCGGGCCGAGGTGGAAGAGACCATTGAGTTTCTTGATCGGATATAGCAACACATTGGGCTTGATCGGTGGCATGTGTTCGGTGGACTGTGAGGATGATCATCCATACCCATTGCGGTCACCCGTATCACTCACTCTTGTTGTGTAGATACTCTCGCACTCATGATCCTCTCCTGTGTCTCAATATCACGGGGAGATGGATGGTCCGCCTCGCGCGGCGTTATCTATGCTGTTTATGTCGGCCTGATTCTCTTCCACGGGTTATGCGGCTCCTTGAGTGGACGCCTAATGCCGAAAATCCAGACATTTTGCATCTATATCAACATTGCCCTCGTTGTTGCGACTGTGATTGCTTTGCCAATTGGAAAAGTGACGCGCGGCGGATCCCTGAACTCTGGCAATTATGTGTATGGTCATATTGACAATGAGACTACATGGTCGACCGGATGGGCATTTATGCTAGCATGGCTCGCTCCGATCTGGTCAATTGGCTCATTTGACTCTTGTGTGCACATGAGCGAAGAAGCTATGCATGCATCCAAGGCTGTTCCTCTTGGAATTGTCTGGTCGGCGGGCTCTGCATTTGTGCTTGGCTTCTTGGTGCTATCCGTCATTGCTGCTACTATGGACCCGGATGTAAGCGCGACGATCAACACCAAATTCGGTCAGCCAATGGCTCAGATATACTATGACGTATTAGGCAGAGACGGTGCTTTGGGATTCATGGCTGTACTTTGCGTCATTCAGTTCCTCATCGGCCTCAGCTTGATTGTCGCTGCTTCTCGCCAAGCATGGGCCTTTTCTCGCGACGGCGCATTGCCATTTTCTAGATTCTTCCGCCACGTCAGTAAGCGCATCCAGTACCAACCGGTGCGCATGATCTGTGGCTTGGTATTTGTCTCTATTGTGTTGGGCCTACTGTGTCTGATCAACTCAGCAGCTGCCAACGCCCTGTTCTCGCTTTTTGTAGCAAGCAATTATCTATCATGGGGCACCCCGATCTTCTGCCGCTTAGTCTGGGGTGAGGACCGGTTCACCCCCGGAGAGTTCTATACCAGCCGCTTGAGCAGGCCAATTGCTTGGGTAGCCGTTGTCTATCTCATTTTTGGTGTTACCTTGTCTGTGTTTCCGACTGAGGGTCCCAACCCAACTCGTATGTATTTGAACACCGCAAGGTCGCTTGACCCGATCGCTAACAATTTACTTACCCATAGCATCGAACATGAACTACACCATCGTAATCAACGGTTTTGTTTGGCTCGGATGTATGGCATATTATTTCCTTTTCGCACGGCGATGGTACATTGGACCCCAGATGACTGTCGATGAGAGTGCTTCGACTGCTTCGGAAAATATTATTTTCGTTCCAGTTCCCCATGCGCTCCCTACCGAGACACCCGCACCTTTCGACTATAAGAAAGAATGATCGTTCTTCTCTCGATATCTGCCTACCGTGCATATATTCGAGTGTCTCAATAGATACTGCTTTTTTTCAGCTTGTCCTTGATACATACATATGGTCACCCGATTTCATGTAAACCGATGAGTTTAGACAAACAACACTGAGTTATATTGAGCTAATATTGTGTTTCGATAAGAGTTTGATGGTGTAATGAGGTTTTAGTCTTTAGAAAAGGGGAAAGGAAGTATATTCTCTCCATCATATTCACCGTTTAGCATCTTCAAATTTCTGGTGCAATCGTCATGTTATCGTTTCCACCATTGTCTTCATTTCCAATCCCTATCGTCCATATTCAGATTCCAGGATGTCTAAATGGCAGCAGCCCTCTCCAAGTCACCCAACCACTTATCCAAGGGACTGGGAAAAGAAATTTGAGAGCGCGATCCAAACTTTGAGCCAGGGGCTCGGAAATAGTAGGCCCTGGGCGACCCCCTATAACAAACGCATTGTTCTTGGTTTAAGATAGAGCAATGATGCCTTGGACTTGGCCAAACTTCAAGCTGCACATCTGGAGACATTTCGGACACAATATGGATTCAAGACGGCCAGTTTGCTTATCCCTTCAACCTCTAGGGAGGAGGCATTGGAAGTGATACACAACACAATTTTTAAACTCCACCAGGAATATAAAATGGGCAGTCCCTTTGAATATCTCGGGTGATTTGTGATACACTATATCGACCATGGTATATTTGAAACCGAACGGAAGTTTGAAATCTGGCAAGGGCCCTAATAGAACCCATCCATTGTGTCCATCCAGCATCACTGAACTCGCCTCTCAGTGGAACCCGCAGCTCTGATCCCGTTAGAAGTCCGTGGTCTTTCTTACACCTAGATTACAACTTCGTGGGCTACGTGGATTCTCACAAGACGCTAGCAGTAGACCCTAGTGTTGATGGCCTTTTGGTACCTACACTACCAGAGAGACCGAAGGATCAAGGGGATGCTGACTATGTAATGCTCTCTCACACGGAGTGAGCTAGTGACACAATATTTCAGTGTTTCAGCTCCTCGCTGCGGAGGTGGAAGGGTCGGCGTTTGTGTCTTTTTATCGTTCTCACCATTTGAAACTTACACAAGGCTGTATCTGCTATGGTTGTTATTATTGATCAACCGAACCTCTCTACAGCAATATTCGAAATTGGCTTCCATGTTTTACACAGAGAACTATCTCGAGCCCTACCGCCAAGACGATGGTGAATCCGCTTAGGCCAGATTCGGCTAAGCTGCAGACCATCTTTGTTTTGAACAGTCGGCTGTTGCTTCAGATTATATTATAAGATACGATCTACTTCATGACCACTATTACACCCACTTGATTTAGAAGTTAGATGTTGACTTCATAGTAGATAATGTATTTAAGTGCATTGCTGTAAGAGAAACAGAAACACTAAGTTAAGCTCTACTGTAGAGCAATAGGAAAAACGGTTCCTATTTTCTGTTGAAGAGGCGCGAGAAGATTATGCGCCTAAGGTGTGGATTAGACCTGGATACTCGCTTGGAGGTCTCTGGGGAACTCGATAGGATTTGGTCCTCTTTGCTTTCGATTGGCGCTTTAGTGAACTCGTTTTAAAGCAGCGTAGCCCACTGTCGTATTGATTCGTATGATTCTGGCCTTTGGAATACTACTGCTTTTGTATATGGAAAGAGCGACCGGCACTACACCTAGTTTTTATATTCACCTGTCGGAAACCTCTGGCACATGACCGCGATAAATTGCTTCATCTATCGCTCTATTTCCTCCATCAGTTTTAAGCCACACACGCATAGTAAGCTACACTAGTCGTTAGGCAGCTAGATGTCTCGCTAACACACTTTCATGTCCTAAGTAAACGACTCGTAGTATCTTTGGATTGGCGCACCCTTTTTCACTGATCGACGTCACTCAGCTAAGATAGCGATTCCTTTGCTTTTCTCGATCCCTGCCCATTCAAGGAGCTTGTTTTGAGATATATTGAATACAGCCCTAAACCTTCGAGCTCCAGGACAAGGCTGACCGGCAGATAAGACAGCCTCTGAATACCAAGCGATTGACTTCGTATAAGTGGAGTTTGATCCAAATGTTCGAGTCGTCGCTCGCTTCAGCTCGCCCAAATAACCATAGAGGACGTTCCAGCAATCGTCTTTCGAGAACAAGCTGTTTCCTTTGAAAATCGCATGTTGCTCCGGTAAGCAAAGCAACGTTACGATTTGTACTGTATCGAACAAAGCATGGACCCAAATATCGCCTGTGCGTTCTCGCAGAGTGAGCGAAGCTTTCAGAGAGCAGCGCGTTGCGCCTGCGACATCGTTGTTATCTTTGCAAATCCGAGCAAAGGTACCATAGAGCGAAGGCAGGGGTTGCATGTCATCAGGCCACACCCCGTTTGGAAACGGTTCGCGAATAATCTTTTCGGCATCTGCCTCGAGATTTGCAAGCTCTATATGCATACCTGTTTGATTATGTTGAGCGACTGCATGGTTTATAAGCTTCAATAAGCGCTGTTGGGAATTATCGAGCTTTTGTATCCATCCAGCTTCGTCCGGCGCTATTTCCTGGAGCTTTTTCATTTCATTCTTGCATCTCATACCTAATAGTTCTGTAAGCTTCGTGTCACATACCTAGGTAGAGATCGGAAAGCTAGCTATACTTACAAACACACTTGAAGAAGTAGTCTTTTTCGGTTATCGCCTGTCGAAGGAAAACAGATCCGGATGGATCCACATATGTTTGAGTGATCTCTTCTCCAGCACGGAGTGGAAGCAAAGATCGAACTCGCATTTGCCTGCCTTCAAAAAATACTAATGCCGTAGGATTGCATGAATGGTTCATGAAGGAGCCAACAACATCAAGCGTCGTGCCGAGAACCGGTGCTGACCCCTCTGCCGACTTGATGCTCATAGAGTTTGTGAGTATCTAGAGAATGTTAGACTATGCTTGCAACAGCCCCAAACTATGATCGGTATCATACGGCACAGTATATCCTCTGAGCCTCCGGGATACGCATATTTGTCTCCATCTTTGCAGATATTGCAATCTCAACTATGCTCGTAGACAAGGGACCTCTGAGGTATTTTGTATGATGGGCTTCGAGGTGGTTGACAGCATCCCATTGTTCGGCATCTATTAACCCGGCCTTTTGCATAGTTATAAGTCTGTATAAGGCTCGCGTTCTGACAAACAGGTTTTTCTTCTTGCTCAGAATGGGACATTCATATTTGTGGTAGCCCCTCCAGGCATTCAACTGGCACTCCTATCAAAGCAAGGCGTCAGAAATGGAGCTAGGATAGTTTCAGGATCAGAGAGATAGAACTCACTTTAGAACAATAGTAGCACACATTGCATCTGCTGCACGTTTTGAGAGGCTGCATCTCTTCCTCGGTCTGGCGAAACTGTCCGCTGGGTAGTACATTGCTTCGACTATATGACAAGCAATAATCACAAACAACATTTTGAATCCCATCATCGACACAAGTGATCAAAGGGTCAGATCGAAAGATTTCCTCGCCCTCGCGAATAGCGGCAGTCGTGAATAAGCCATGTTTAGCATGTGCGATAGAGGATGGTCGAATCTCTAGAGGAATAGTCGACGTCACTTGGTGACTCAAGTAGGTCGACAACTTTGCAATTTGATCATGGGTCATTTTGAATTCCTACACGCGAAAAAGATCTGTAGTTTCGTAAACAACTTGGAGCGTCCACGCAGTGTGCTACGGGCTAGAAGTGGGGTGGTGCTGTACTTATGCTCAAAGATAGTGCGTTGGCTAGCCGGGTATGGCATTCGTACCTAGGTATACCTAGGTACGGAGTAGTAAATACTTCAATATTTTAGTGCGATTATATAGAAAACAATTTGTTTTAGTATAAGAATCGGCCGAATTAAGAGTTCGCTACCTAGGTAAAACTCACCCTTTCAATACTACTAGCACGCGTTGACCTAAAGTCCACAGAAGTGAGTATTCTTATCGATTAATAGGCTATATTTTGTATAAGGAACATAGTAGGTAAGACTTACCGCCGTCCACAAACAAAGAGGGGGGGTTCCTTGTTAGCGGTAAGTCACGGATATCCTGGATAGTATAGAGACCCCTGATTGGCTAGAATAGCATTCTGCCCATGGGCGTGCCAGGCGGCCAGGCCCATAGGGAAAACGTCTAAATACCCATATCCAGGGATAGTATCAATTTCTGACGCCTGTCAAAGCGTAGATGACTTCCGACATCAATCAAAATTATTAGGAAATAGCTTGATTAAATGAATTCGGCTGTAGAGCAGTATCTTGTCTAATTATAGGGTGGCTTATAGGCATATCCTTTTAGGTATCATGGCCTTATCCATCATTTGATCTCATCCACTCAATGAAAGGCTACAGCTTTGGTAATTCGATTCATTTATATAAAATACGTGAAAACGTCAAGGTAAAGGTTGATGTCCTACGCACTGTTTTGCGTAAGAGGTGGTAGTGTATGTGCCAAACTCATCCCACAGAAAAAGGGCCATCTTGTCGAGGTAGAGACCAGGCTTTTCCAGCAGATGGTCGCAGAGAGCCTCCAACATTGGTCGTATGACGCTACGGGGTCGACCTGCTCGAATAGGAGGGGCTCTGATATCACTGAATTGCCGCACATTGCTCCGGATGGTGATGGAACGCGGAATACACCCAGCGGCATCAGCGATCTGGATTGTGGTCAGTGATTTGCTCAAGATCATATCGCGAATGAACTGTCTAGTAGAAGAAGGCAGATTGGAAGCCATTTCGTGCTGTGTGTGTGTGTGTGTGTGTGGTAGGGGCTAAGGTGGCGTGAGCTGTAGTAAGATGGGCTCAGGCGGGAGATGAGGACCGCAAGCGAGAAAAGCGAATTAGCGAGACGTATAATTCAACAGCTTCCACGTATCAGTCTTGTCAAGTACGGAGTACTTGACATCTCCATTCTAACGCGCAGGGATGACCTGCAGTCTAGCTGAATTTGGCCTAGATGGTTTCACCGTCTTGGCGGTGGGGCATGAGATACTTTCTGTGTAAAACAGGGAAGCCATTTTCGAATACTGCTGTATTAGCTCTTGATATCGCTTTTAATAGTACCTTGAGTCATGTTACCGTTTAAATTATATGCGTTAAAAAGTGCTAGCGTGAGACATGTAATAAACAAATTCGTTCGATTGGTTATGAAAAATGCTCTAGAACATGCATATTTAGTATATGCCTATGCAGTCGTGAGACCATCAGCAGATTAAATATCGAAACGGTCGACCAAAATGTAGGTTATACAGCTGATGAATATGGTACAGCTTGAAAAAAAGAACGCCGGTATTAGACCTCTTTTCCCAGATGCGAAAACATGACGAACGATTAGTTCAGAAAACTTGCGAAGAAAGGACGTAGTGGATATCGTGGCTGAAATCAAATTCAGAATCAACGTAGCGAGGGTATCAACACTTTATAGTGCAACCATGACACCAAGGACACCGGCCATACCCGCAGCAACGGCGCCGATAGCAGTGGGACGAGCGAAGGCGGCATTGTCAGAGATGGAGGAAGAGCTGGAAGAGCCGGAAGAGCCGGAAGAGCCGGAAGAGGTGGAAGAGCCAGAAGAGGTGGAAGAGCCAGAAGAGGTGGAAGAGGTGGAAGGAGACCCAGTTGAGATTGTGCTGGTTATGGTAGCGGACTCGGTAGCGGTGGTTGAGCCGGCGGAGTTGGTTAGAGTAGTCTGAGCAGAAAGCGCAGTAACAATACGGCTGGTAATCTCAGAGCCGATAGAGCGGCCTTCGCTGGCGGCGGCAGAAGCGTCGCTTTCGATGGATGAGACGGCGGCGGCTCCACCTGTGCTCACTGCTTCAGCGAAAGAAGTGGCCTTTGAGGCAATGTCGGATCCGATGGATTGGCCGCCGTCGACGGCAGTTGAGTAGATGCCTTCGGCGTTGGAGACGATAGAGTTCACATCAATACCGTCTGGGGAGGCCATGCCAGCGGTGGCCAGGAAGAGAGCGGAGGAGATCAGAGTGAACTTCATTTTGATGGAGAGAAAGGGGTTGATTGAGTGAGTTAGAATTCAAATAATTGACTTTTTGGATTGAAATAATATACGATGAAAATCCGGGGGAAAACTACTTATATGTATTCGGTAAATGGAACTAGTTTGCTATAGATAGAAACATCGGAGTTTGATTGCGTATGTTAGGCAGCCAAGGTGGCAGTGGCGAGATGACCTCAGCCCTGTTCGGAGCGATTCTCGTGTCGATCGTAGGGTCTTAAGGATAGAGGGGCTATGTACCGGCACTAGTATGTGCCTTATTAGAAAACTGCGCATCTTGTCCCAACATACGGGGCAATAACATCGTCATATTGGGGGTCCACTTCGTAATGAGGGCGCAATTATGGGGCTGTTTCAACACCCGAGTCCCTTCCCCCCGGAAAATACCTGCAAGATCTATGTTGTATACGTGCATGTTCTCGCATGAGCTTGATTCATGTGGGCAATGCAGCACAGCCGGTAAAAAACTTATATTGCGATATTTTGGGTATCTTGCTGCCTTGGTCCCAACAACTCGATTCGCACCGGAGACCCCCTATCCCAACAAATAATGAGCCCCGTAGGGGTGGCTTGGAAAATCTTTATTAACCAACTGTCCATAAGTTACGTGGCTAGGAAATGGTAATGCGAGTCTCACCGATATATGCTGTACTCCGTAGTGGGTCGACTCTTGCCTTGGATAAGCAGGTCTCAGCGCCTATCATTATACATAATTCGAACAATGATGAGCGACTCGCAATTTCCACGTATATTTCCAAGTATATTGGCCCCTGTGGCATTTTCGGCTGGAGATGGCCAAGGGCTTTCATGACGCGTCATATAATAGGGTTGAATGCCCTTTTTCTTATTGCAAAGGGGCACCGAAGGAGCCGCAGGAACAAAGTCACGGAGTGGCGACACGCTAAAAAAAGAAACCAGAAAAATTCCACAATTATTTTGGTGGATCATAGTACTCCGTCCATGGAAGTATTGTTCATGCCCTTTTTCATGATTAATTGTCTATTATTTAAATTACTAAAAAAAAAATGCATATGTCCAGTGATGATGATGCAATAAACACACCGAATATCATGCTGTAAACTGGCCATAAACCTGGATTATGGCTTCCCATCCACCTTTATAGTCTGATTCACGCGGGTTGCTCTTCCCATCGAGCACCATCACATCCGTCATGCGCGTGCTGATCGAGTACCAGACCAGATTCTGAGGCTCATTCGTGACCCGCATCATGTTGGTTTGGCAGTTCCCGTTGCAAGGCTCGTTATACAGACCATTCCAGTACCCGTCGAAGAAAGCCCAGGCAGCTGAGTTGTACAGCGCGATGTTAGATCCACCGTCGACATTTGTAGCTATCGCAGTGCGACACTTTTGGTCATCTGCGGCACACCATGAGTAATCGGGGTCACCATATTTGGCGACAGCTGTCCATGGTGCTGGTGCCGCCTGGTACTCGCCCTGTCCTTGCATGTACGGTGTTTCCGTTTGTAGAAGACCCGCAAAGACATTCTCGGCGTTGTGGAAGTTATAGTTGTACAGCCAGTGATGCTCGGAACCGGTTCCTGTCAGCCAGGTGCCCTTGGTGGATTCGACCAAGATGCCGCGGCCAGTTGAGACAATAGTGAGAAGTGACTCGCTATCAAGGTTGTGATCGGCGGTCCATCCCCAGAAGTTCTCAATATATGCGGACGAGCTCTTGGTCAGGTGCATTACCATGAACGCAGCCATGCAGTCCTTTGGGTCTTGCGACGTGCAAGCACCGGATATACTGGTGTCAGCGGTCCCGCCCACCATGGCCATCGTGTTCCAAAGACCGATGTCACCAGGCTGATCACCTGCAGCATTGATTTCAATAATCTTGGCCCCCGGCAGGATCTCGCCGACGGAGAATCGCATGTCCTGAATTTCAATCACGCCAATGTCCCCGGTATTGCCAAGCTGAATAACAGGCCTCGGATTGTTGGAATCCTTGAACTTGTCGCCAAATGCAGAAATGACAGACCATGCTTCTCCGACAATGCGGGTTCCAACTGGAACGAAAATGGTGTCTGAGACTCGGTATACACCGAAGGGGATGTATGTGACCTTGCACGAATCGGCATTTTCAGCCAAGATAGCATTCAGACTGTTGGTGTCGTCAGTCTTACCGTCACCTTTCACTGTGTGTCCAGATACGGTCTTGACATTGACAATATCATTTGCGCCGTACTCTTGATAGGTGGGCTGGGGCTTGGTAAAGTATTTGTCATCTACCAGCAAAGGTGCCGGGCGCTTTGTGACCCAGCTTACCCCAGTCTGGTAGTTCTCTGGAGCGACAGTGCCCCAGACCCAGGTATCGACATGAGAGGTAGCGGCCAATGCCACATTTCCCTGAGCATCCACCGCGATAGGGTTCGATGTATCGTGCTTGAGGTTCTGAATGAGGAACTGGCTATTTCGGTTTCCAGAATCATGGGACGAATCATAGAATCTGACTACCGTTCCTGAGTTGGTGGAAGTGGAATCCAGAAGCACTAGGCTACCCAATCCATTCCCAGTCATATCGATACCAGTGCCGCATTTATCAAAGGTTGCTTGTTGCAGCAGCACCGTCCACCCACCTGACGCGGTGAAACCTGTTCTACAAGACTCGAAATAGATGTTCTTGAAGTTGACTTGTTGGTTAGAGTTTTTTATCCCGATAGCTCCACCAGTAATATGCTACACTTTGTTAGGTTGTCTTTCTTCTTTTTCTTGGGTTTCTCTGGATTACTTACCACATCTGTCACAGCAATTGTTGACCCGGCATTGATATCGATTCCAGTGTGACCCGTGGAGTCTTTTGGCATACGAATCTCAACATTTGTCAAACCCGACCCTTGGGCAACTCCCCATTGAAGAGCAGTGATGTGGTGGTCTGGTTTGAGGGCCGTTGTATCTATGATCACGTTCTTGACAAGTGTTCCAAAGCTAGTTTCCGGGTTGCCGTTGTGTGAATCGTACCCCATGATGAGATACTCATCGCGGAATCCAGATCCAGCCTTGATGATAGGGGGATTTAACGGATTGCCCACAATTATCGTACCAACAGTCAGGTTCAGAGTGGTTTCAAGCTGGTACACGCCACCTGGAAGATAGACCTGAGCAGGGTACCGCGTGAGACCTTGGCCCTTTCGACTGCCTCCCTGGCCGTCATCGTCTATGGCCTGCTGTAGTTTCGGGGTTTGGTTACCACTGCCATCATTGACGACCGAGTAATCCATCACATTGCGGTACACCGGGTAGAGGGACGATTTAGCGTAGGGAGCAAATCCTGCTCCTTGTTGATTGTGATCCTGCTCATCAAGCCAGTAGATATCTGGTGCTCTTTTGGTGGGGGCAGCGCAGGTTTTTGTCGCGTGCGAGTGGCCTTTTTGAGAGATTGGACTAGACAGGTTTGTTAGCATTTAATGATCCTATGAAAACGTTGAATGACACATACGACTGGGTTGGAGGACTGGCTCTTGTGGATTGAGTATGGGTCTTTGGCAATGGAGCTGAAGTCCTTGTACTTGTTGCGAGAGGATGCGTGGCCGCTGAATTGGTGCTGGTTATCATTGTAGTAGTATGTGTCATCTTTGAGGAACTAGCCACCTTCGGCAAATTTGCCATCGAACCATCGACACCCTTCGATGAAGTTTCCGTGGCTGTGGAGAGAGTATTTACTGCACCCGACGAAGTCGTGATACTCGAGTCGTGGTGAACTGTCGCAGTGGGTGCACCAGTAAGGCCTGCCAAAGAAGACATAAGAGCCCAATACAAGGGGTGGTCATTATTTGACAGTCTTTCATCACCAGTTGTGGACGAAGGTGCATGCAGTGAGGTCGGTCGCACCAAGTGCAGAGGCACAATAGCACCGGATACTGTAGACACAGCAACTGCCACTGCAGCCCAAGAAGAGACACTCCTCATACTCAATCGACTACAAGCCACAAACTCAGTGTCCAAGTAGATAGAAAGGAGTAAGAGAAGAAAAGGAAGTAGATGAATGGATACTAATAAAAATGATACCTGTCAAACTTTCCGACAGTTACATACCATGAAGACCATCCTGGAATGCACGTAAAGAACACACTTTGTTTGAAGAATGTGTGTGGCCATTGTTGGTGCACCTTGAATGGTCTGGCTGGAAGGGCCATGGATGATCGACGCCCCTTGCAAGACTCGGGATTCTGCAAGACTCGGGATTCGCAACCTTCTGGGCAAACTATAGCAAGCTTATGCCGTTGCTATAGCTTCTTTTTTAGTGCACTCTATTGGTTCGGGGAAACTTCAAGCTTATCCTATAATGTACTCACGATCCTTATGCTATATCACTCGAGTACTGAATATCCTCGACTAGGATTGACATGGCTATGCACCATAGGGTATTCGGCGTTCATCTTGAACCGCGTACTCTTACATAATTCAACACGAAAGGACTAGAGACGCGATAACGTCTATCATGTCCCCATTCGTTCCTTATTTCCTTGTATATGTCAAAATATGTATTTCCGGGCTATATCTTGATTAATGCTACCCTTCAGGTCCAGCTGATACGCTTGTAATCGGGATCAATACAAGGTTATCGTTCGTGTGTGTACGTGTTATTTGACATGCTCCGACTGCTCTCGATTCGAGACACGTGGTAGTCGGTTGATTGTTGGTAAAATCAAGTTTCCTCACGACACCCCTTGCATTGTGTCCTTGAAAGGTCCGCCGGTGTTCATACAGACTTCCATACCAACGGCAGCTATGCAGTATGAAGGATTCCCCTTCGCCTATATGATTTGTGTTTTTAGAGTTAAGGTTATTTCTTGATAATTGGCGCACACCATGCCTGTTGATCCTATATGCCAAGCTTCATCTCCATGGGCATTACCTCGCAAGGTATGTAAATTCTACTTCTATACATTCGGTTACAGTAACAATCCACCCTTTACGAATGCATTCAAATTTCTTCCTCCCTTGCAAAGGTGTTGCATTCTATGTTTGGCTGAAAGAAAACTGCAATGGAAGTATTTGTATTGCATTGAGGTTAGGCATTGTCAAGCGGCCATCCTTGCAGATATGACATTTTGAATAATATATTATGTAGTACACTAAAAAGCATGTAATAACTGGAATGAATCTTTCACAAAGTATATGAACCGAGTAAAATTGTAGAACTACCTAATCTCTTCATACCTGAAATAAATCCATATTTACGTCTTCCTTTTTACCCCTGTATATTCATCTACCCCTCCCCCACTATGAAATGTATATTTGTAATAAGTGAAATAGAAAGAAGATAGGAAAATAAGCGGTAATAGTGATAAACGCTAGATTCTTTTGATTCTATGGTTCGTATATAGGTTTACAGAAGGCGACTATATATTAGAAGTATTTGAATTGAAATGATGTCCTAAGATATAGGATCCCCGAACTTATGTAGAGGTATATGTGATAAAGGCGTCAAACTCCATCGACGCCGCTAATCTTGATTCCGTAGGAATCCTGAATTCTTAGCATACAAGAGTATGCAAGAATTGTCGTATATAAGAGGAGACGTATGTATGAAATTAATTAGGGTTAGGGTTCAGCCTTGAATAGATCGAAAGTTATGTTAATTATGGCGAATTAATTTGGATTTTCAACATGACATGCGAAAATGACAGGCTATTGATGAAATATTCAAGTAATCACTTGTGAGATTATAAGAATTTCCAGCTTTGGTAAATATCGTATTTTGAAACTTGCTTCTTGTGCAGTTTGTACCTATAGAAACGAGTTCAAAGTGGTTTATCTGCAAACCATAGTGCAATTGTCGGAGACAGAGAATTACCAATGGGCACAATCGTTAAAATATGTTTCTTTCAGGCTGCTAATGTATCTTTCTATAGCAATTACATGATGATATTGAGGACAATGTTGGGTGGCGAGAAACCTGCAAGTCCGAGATTTGCGTGGGATAGATTTCCGATGAGGCGACACCTGCAAACAATACCTTATGACTGGCGGAAAGGACTCAGAATCCCGTTGACTTGATGATTTCCTACATTTCTGGCCTGCGCGAAAATAAATTCCTTGCTGATTCCCGACCGTGGTTCACACGTATACCCCAATCACGTCTCCGTGAGCTCATCTGGCAATTATGATAGCCCAATTTGGCACCGAAGTCCGGAGGACATTAGACGAGAGACCTTGTACGATTCAAAGTTCTTGACTGAAAGGAGATTGACAATCTACAAACTCACTTGGTTCCAAACAATCGGAGGTTAGTTGGCGAAGGACTGAAAACCACGCATCGCCTTCATGTCGGAAGCATCCATCAGCACTTTCTACGATGACTCGGACCCAGACAATACAAGCTCGTCCGAAGTTTGGCAGGATGCACCTCAGACCAGCCCACAGGATGAGGAGCCACCACTCCATGTTCGATTTCGATCAAACGCGGGTTTCATGCAGGGGGCTCGGCATGATCCTCCGGCAGGAGGTCTCCGGGAAGAGTGGGAACATGCTCACAGTCAAGCGCTGCCTCATCGACCGACAATGCCATATTCCCATGAGACTGAGGATATTACCGATACGCCACTGAAAGATCACGAGCCACAGCCGGGTGAGACAGACGGCGGGTCAGGCGTCGAAAGGATAGACCAGAACAAGCCACAGGAAGACGAGAAGAAGGAGCCTGAGACTCCCCAACAGCAATCCACACGGGAGAAATGGCGAGCCGTGGCCAGGAATTGGAGACAGAAAGCATCGGAATTCGGTGACCGCATGGGTCGCCCACAGGCCGAAGGAGACGACTTAACATCCGGCAAGTATCACGCGGACTGGGCGACCGGCGGTGCAGTTGCCCACTCCGACATGACAGATGACAAACACAAAAGTGTGGAGGCGAAGCAACGGGACCAGAAAGGAACCACCTCCGAAGCTCATCGTCTGGTGCGAGATTTGACCCAAGACCATTCCCAAAAACGCCGCAAGGGTCGTGGGAAGCCTTATCCTCATGCTGGGACCCAGTTCAAAGATGAAGAAAATGATACAGGACTAGATGCGGACTTGAGCTATCGCTCTGGTGGCGGTGGGATCCTGTCGCACTTGATCAAATTACAAGGTGGTCAGCAACAAGGTGCTGGAGGCCAGTCTCGAACATCAACTGACTCGTCCCGCAGCGCAGAATCAGCCCCCAGCGGGGCCCCAAAACCAGCAGGAAAGAAGCAAAAGCCACTGAAATGGTACAAAAAGCCCCAAAATACGTCGACGTCGACCTTGATTGGTGGGGGCGCGGATAGTTTCAGCGGTGCAAGCACTCCTGTTTCAAGCGAGATCCTGTCACAAGCCTCGAAACGCCGTGACAATCAGGGAGGTGGTGCTGCTGCTGTTGCAGCTGGTGGCGGCGGTGGAGGCCGTAATATGCGCCTTGAGGATGAAATTCGAGTGACAGTGCACATTGCAGAGATCATCTGTCGGCAGCGGTATATCATGCAGCTCTGCAGAGCATTGATGTTATTCGGTGCGCCCACGCATAGACTTGAAGAATACATGCAGATGACCTCAAAGGTGTTGGAGATTGACAGCCAATTCCTGTACCTGCCAGGTTGCATGCTCATGTCATTCGATGACCCTTCTACCCGCACGACCGAGGTGAAGTTGGTTCGCGTAGCCCAGGGGATTGATTTGGCTCGCCTATCGGACACACATCTAATCTACAAGAATGTGATCCATGACGTGATTGGCATTGAAGAAGCAATTCAGGAGCTCGATTCAGTCATCAAGAAAAAGCCCCAGTATCACAAAATCATCATTGTCTTGGTGTATGGGTTGGCCACTGCAACTGTGGGGCCTTTCGCTTTCAGTGCCAGACCGATTGATATGCCGATCATTTTTCTCAATGGTTTACTTGTGGGTTTAATGCAACATGTCGCGGCACCTCGTTCGGTGTTGTATTCAAATGTCTTTGAAGTGACATCGACAGTGGTGACGTCCTTCCTTGCCCGAGCCTTCGGCAGCATCGCCCTTGGAGTTGTGGATGGCAAGCCACAGTACCTCTTTTGTTTTTCCGCCATTGCGCAATCATCTATTGCATTGATATTGCCGGGGTTCCTTGTTCTCTGTAGTAGCCTGGAACTTCAGTCCCATCAGATCATCGCTGGCTCTATTCGGATGGTCTACGCTCTCCTCTTCTCGTTGTTCATTGGATATGGAATTACCGTCGGCACAACCATCTACGGGCTGATAGACAATAATGCGGTATCTGATACCTCCTGCCCAGCGAAGGGCGCCTTTAAAAATCCATATGTTCAACGGTTCCCATTCGTTGCGATCATGACAGTCTGGCTTTTGATCATAAACCAAGGGAAATGGAAACAGCTCCCACCCATGAGCATCATCGCATTGTCGGGCTACATCAGCAACTACTTCAGCACAAAGAAACTGGGATCAAACTCCCAGGTCGCGAATACAGTCGGCGCATTTGTCATCGGCATCATGGGAAATATGTACAGTCGGTTCTGGCATGGCCACGCTGCGACCGCTATTCTGCCTGGCATTTTCATTCTGGTTCCATCTGGACTTGCTGCGACAGGATCTCTGATCTCGGGTGTACAATCCGCGGATGAAATTCGTCAAAGCGTCGGCTCTCATGGTGGCGCTAGTTCAGCACCCGGGGCTGGCTTGCAGTCTGGTAATTCTGTATTTAGTCTAGGTTTCGGTATGATCCAAGTGGCTATTGGCATTACGATTGGTTTGTTCATTTCGGCCCTGGTGGTTTATCCATACGGCAAGGCCCGCAGCGGACTGTTTAGTTTCTAGGCTGTTGCTATGCCGCTGGAAATTGGTTTCTAGCCTGATGTTAATGTTGATATTGGGATAATATATAATATACTATGGATGTTTCAAAGGTATCAGGTAAATATTATTCTCAAAGATCAGATCTCGGTGCTTCGGAAACGAGTACATAATCTTCGGCCTTAAAAATGGCCGAGGCCGATGATCACATAATATTTTGGAAGCTGAACGGACAAACGAAAACGGACGAACTTCTGAAAAGAAAGAGTTACTAATCTCATCGCTGTTTATCCATAATTGGCAATGGAAATCACAGAGAGAATATGTGACCTGAATAGAACTCTTGGGATATATAAGATTAAACCCTGTCTCTGTAAATATGATCGTCAAAGTCCAGCTTCAATCAGAATCACCATCACAGTTGAATCGCAATGTCATCCACAATCAAAACCATTCAGCTCTACGGTTCCATGCTTGGGCCCAATCCCTTGAAGGTCGCAATTGTCCTCACACTTCTGGAACTACCATATGAAGTCATCCAAGTCCCCTTCTCCAAAGTCAAAGAACCCGAGTACGAAGCAATCAATCCAAATGGACGCCTACCTTCAATTCACGACCCACACACCAACCTGACCATTTGGGAGAGCGGTGCTATTATCGAGTACCTTATCGAGCGCTACGACACCAATGAACCCCGCAAGCTCAGCTTTGCACCACGCAGCGCAGAAGCCGAGCTTGCACGCTCGTTCCTCCACCTCCAGGCCACTGGCCAAGGGCCGTACTACGGACAAGCTTATTGGTTCAAGAGATTGCACGCTGAGAAGATCCCTAGCGCCGTGGAGCGCTATGTCAACGAATCCAAACGCGTGACGGGCGTGCTTGACAAGTGGTTGGGCAAGCAGAAGGAGGCTAACGACAAGAATCTTGGGGATGGTCCCTGGCTGGTCGGCAACAAGTTGTCGTACGCTGATGTGGTGTTCATTCCTTGGCAGGAGACGGCACGCACGGTATTCGCTGAGGAAGGGTTCGACGTTGATGAGTTCCCAAATGAGAAGGAGTGGTTTGAGCGCATGGCCTCGAAGAAGTCCATCAAGGATATTCTGGATTCTGTAGCTGAGCAGAGGGCCAATATGGCGCCACACTGATGGATTGGGACTCCTGTGTACATCTAATTCAAGTATAAGCCATGCCTATCGATATCGCGACAGGGCAATGCAAAGCAAATACAACGTTTTTGGTTAATAAAACAGTGTCCCAATTTCCAGTATCCTTGATTTGTATTTCTTTCTTGACCCAGGCTCAGAGTAGCACGCGACTAGCACCCATGGATATGCGCACAAACAGAGAAAAGCATCATCCCAAACTCATCAGCGGATTGCAACCAGCGCTCAATCTTCTCCCGCCGGGCATCTGTTCCAGTCTCAGCAGACTTCCATAGCTCTGATATCTCGAGCATACCATCCTCCCAGCGAGACAAATGCCGATTGTATTCTCGTTCCCAAAAGGCGCGGTTTGAGGCTTCCCAGAGTATTTTGCTTTCCGGGGCCAAGGTCCCTCTCAGTTCTTCGGCGACAAAGTTTGGCAGCCCAACTTCGGCATTGTAGATATTGGTGAAGAGATACATGGTAAAGAGGGTACGACGTTTGGCAGAAGCAACTATCCATGACTCCCAGCTCGGGCGGGTCTGGGATTCTTCTGCTCTGCATGTGAGACCTGCTTTGGCAGATCGGAAAGCAATTTCTTGCATCTGTAGGTGCACATACTCATCGAACTGGTTGGGCTCTTTGACGGTGCCTGTTCGATGAAAGAAATAGATCGTCATGAAGTAGATGAGATACGCTTGGAACGAGCACAGGTTGTCAAAGTCGCTTCGAGAGGCATCCTGTGTCGTATTAGGCTGACAGCTAACGAATATTAAGGTGCTAACATACCTGATTTTCGATATTTCTCATCTCGTCTCCTATCGTCCTCAGAAGCAAGGGTTCACACCCAGGAATGCGAGTCAACCACGTCCGAACCAGAGTGAAACAGTAAGCCAAGACAGGTGGACAAGTCGCTGTCTGTTGCAGAGAATGAATGAAAGGCGGTGCAATTGAATGTAGTAGATTCCTAATATACGATTTCAACACGCAAGTGAGATACTGTATGGTGTGAGCATTCAACTGCTTGGGCTCCTGGCCGGTCGAGCTGGAGATGTAGGGCCGTAGCCAGCGATCACGAATTTCCTCTGCATCAACCATGGGCACCAGGTCAATTTCTTGAAAGTCTAGGACATCAGTGGAATCTAGATGAACTAGTCCACGATCTGCGATAGTAGAGTGACCCGGGGTATGAGATGCATTTCCGGTGTTTTGAGCCAGACCCTGGGCCAGTGTGGAATCCAGCGATATTGCATCAGAAACAGTGCTGAGAGGGCTGGCATCCACAGTCGCATATTGATTCTCTGTATTAGCACCACTTTGTGATCTCGAGTGTGCTGGATATTCACAGCTCGTGCCTCGATCTTTGCATCGCTTGCATTTCGGCTTTCCGAGATCACATGCAGCTTTGCCTTCGACACATTTTCGGCATGCCTTTCTTCGCGAATTGCGGGGGATTCGAGACGAGACAGGAGTTGATGGTGCGGGTCTACCTGAGATGTCCATTTTGAAGATGGATGGGAGACGTCGGAATTCCGCGAATATTTTCGGAGTTCCGTAACAAATGCCAAGCCATGAAGTCATCCCACCTAGACACCTACTAAGGTAAGTTTGCACTCTTTATACACAAAGGTTGCCTGAAAAACACGCCATGTCTTCATTTCTACTGTTTGTCTACTGCGAAAATTTGCGGTATTACATAAAGTTCATCTTGAAGTCCCCAGGTCTTTTCCCCGTTACCTAGTACTTTTTTTGTTTCATGGTTTAGACTCTTATAGCTCACTACATAAAACTTCAATACATGTTCAAAAAAGCTAACTAGTTATGGGAAATAACCAGGTGCCTTATGTTGAAGGCGTTGAATGGCCTTAAAAGATGTGCGTGGCAAACTGAATGGCCCATAGTGAAGATCATTGCGGAATTCCGAAGCAAGTCCAGATTCCCCGCAACTATAAAATCCCCTGCCGATCTCGCCTTACAACACACTTTCCGCCAAAGCAACTATTACAATTACAACTCCAATCACAAGTCATTGACCATGCCTCAAGTATACACAACAGACCACTCAACCTCAGTCCTCCGCACGCACAGCTGGCGCACAGTCTCTAACTCCGCGCCATACCTCCTCCCACACCTGAAACCAGACATGAAAATCCTGGATGTAGGCTGTGGCCCTGGCTCAATCACTATTTCCCTCGCAAAGCATGTTCCATCTGGACATGTCACAGGTGTGGAATACGTGCCTGATCCATTAGAAGGAGCCCGTACCCTTGCGCAAGCCGAAGGCGTGTCAAACATCACCTTCGAAGAAGGAAACATCCACGCCCTGCCATTCAAGAACAATACCTTTGACGTGGTACATGCGCACCAGGTCTTGCAACACATTGCTGATCCGGTTCTTGCGCTAAAGGAAATGCGGAGAGTCGCTAAGGAAGGTGGCATTGTTGCATGTCGTGAGTCGGCGGAGCTGAGCTGGTATCCTGAGTCTGTGGGGATCGCCAAGTGGCGCGAGATTACGGAGCGCATGCAACTTGCTAAAGGTGGCAATCCGCATCCTGGGAGGATGATTCATGTTTGGGCGCGGGAGGCTGGATTTGACGGTGGAAGTGTCAAGAGGAGTGCGGGGGCTTGGTGTTTTGGGAATGATAGAGAGAGAGCGTATTGGGGTGGATCTATGGAGGAGAGGGCTAGATCTTCTGGGTTTGCGAAGAATGTTGTTGAGGAGGGCTTTGCAGAGCCGGAGGACTTGGAAGTTATTGCGAGGGGGTGGAGGCAGTTTGTGGAAGATGAAGATGCCTGGTTTGGTTTGTTGCATGGGGAAATATTGTGTTGGAAGTAAACAGGAACAAGTGTTGGCTTTAAATGTGGTTCGGCATCTAGAAGGAATGATAATAGAAAAATATCTTAATGCAATGTTAAGGAACGGCAAATGTAATAATGTAAACCCTTCGCAAAATGCAACCCTCAACCCTAGCAAAGAATAATGTGAATCTTAAACGATCGATCGATGAGACCTTCAAGCGACAGCCCATGTGTGATGACAATCACCAACCACCGTCACTATCAGACTGGGCCTCTTCTTGATCGCGACGGCCTTGCTCGTAAGCCTCTTCGCGATCTGACTTTTCAGAGTCCTCGTCTAAAAAATAATTAATTAGCATGTGCAAAAACAAAGTAGTTCAATAGAAGCAAAAACGAGAACATACCAAGCTCATGGGCAATCAAAGCACCGCCAAGACCACCGACAGCCAAACCAGCGGCACCGGCCGCAAGATACTTCCCAGCGTTGCTGCTCTTCTTCTCGGGCTCGGGCTGCTGATAGTAGCCCTGGCTGGGGCCACGAGTATCATAAGGTACAGGTGGGGGGCCCTGGGGAGGAGCATAGTAGCCACCCTGCGGCTCTGGAGGAGGAACGCTGCGAGAACCATCATTGTATCCAGAGTAACCAGGCTGCTGGTAAGGTGCCTCCCACTGGGAGCGACCAGTGGCCTGTTCTATGTAGAATGCGCGACGGGCACTGGGCTCCCATTCCTGGACCCAGCCCTGGGGCAGTGGAGGTGGGGGGCCTGGAGGGGGACGGGCTAGAGGCGGAGGTGCACTGTATGGGGCACGATCGTATGCTGGGCGACCGCCGTCGTAGGGGGGACGGTCATATCCATCTTGAGGAGGGCGCGCATAAGGATCAGCAGGTGGGCGCCCGTAGGGGTCGTACGGTGGACGATCTGAGGGAGGGCGAGCATAAGGGTCGCCGTAAGGTGGAGCGTACGACATAATGAGGGTTGATATGGAGAGGTGAAAGAAGAGGAAATGAATATAATTGAGAAAGAGGGGTGTGAGGGCTTTTATGGGCAAGCACAAAAAGAACACCGTTGTAGACCATCACCTTCCGCCTAGAACCGAAAGAGACAACTCCACAATCTGTCCAACGAATTATGCCCCCACTTCTAAGGAGTTACATGTTAGCGCCCAAGTTTACGGAGTACGTCTACTCCGATTAGGCAGATGCAATATAAAAATGCTCCGTGAGCCCCTGGAGTGGACAGGATGGTCAGATTGGCAATCCCATCGCCTTGCAGGGCTAGTCAGCCAAATGACCAATTCGATTTCAACATGCCAAGTGACCCCCTGTTCACTGTTAGTGTGCTACAATAAGCCGAAAATATACGAAGTACTCCGTACTCGAGGGGTTGCATTACAGATCAGGACTTTTCTCCACATGGGAGACTATTTGTTTCCACGGTTTGGCCTCGGACAGTATATAAAGGGGTCCATGTATTGATAACGACATGTATGACTTAAACAAATTAAACAAAGGGACTAAAAAAAAATAGGGGAATATGGGCAGTGGATTGTTCTCCTCTATAGGGGCATTAAGGATTGCGGGATAAAATCAATTCGTGTGGTATCGCCGAGCCACGATGTGGCTCGCGCAAGGAAAACACAGCCACTGACTGTCACACACGTGGCTGGTGGATATAGGGATTGGGGCTTGGCACATTTAGTACTCTATAGGGAGTGGTGTGCTCCGACAAAACTAGTCACAATTGGTTTCAAAGATATTGTAACGCCAAATCGGCATGTGGCTAAGGCGGGTAGAATTGGGATCAAGGGCGCTATCTACCAGGTTGATATGAAGCGCCCGCAATGTCGTACTCCGTACTCCAACAAAAAAATGTGTTCATCGCTGTGCACCAACGTTTTACCTTGAAACAGGCGACAAGAACGATCTGCGACCTGTCAAGTACCAACGACAATAGCTACGAATTTTTTTTTTTTTTTTTTCTATATTTCATTTAAAGGTGGTTAATAGGTCACTATTAACTCAATTTCCCTATCTCTAGCAAGGTAAACATGTCTTAGCGTTTCTTCCGAGCGATGCATGTGCATCCGGCGTATACATACCACTGTACATACGCGCCAGGATCCGACCGCAGACTTTGGCTGAAATAATGTTCGGAACAAGAGCGACCTGGGCCCAGCCCGCGCGGGGACATACGGGACCGCGACGATCGGCTACATGGGGCTTTTCCCACGATTCATTCAATCAGCGTTGCTAGAGTGGTTGATGAATAGAAGGTTCCCAGATATACTATCCAGCAATACGTGAAGGATCTTTGGAAAGATACATCGCATGTATCGAATGTATTATTCTTGCTCACGCTACGTGCACTACTACATATTTCCCTACTAGAAAGCAATAACAGAACGTTCGAGGGAAGCGTCGTATTATAGTAGTGTAGCTATGAATGGCGTTCTCGCGCTAGCAATCAAACTTCAGAGACCAATCGGCGCACAGACCATTGACAGCGGAAACAATTCACGCCGAGCATTCCATCACCGAAGGTTCAGAACTATGTCCCTGAGCCTGCGATAACACTTGATTCCGTGCTGGGTGGGTAGAAGAACGCGGATAGGCTGATGGAATGTTTAGCACATTGAAGTAACACAGAGGAAAGGGATAAACTCACGCAATGATGATATAAGCTGCAATTAAGAGAACACCCTCTAAGTAGTTGCTTCGGCCGTCCAAGACGAGGAAGTTGACAACAAAAGTGGTCACAAAGAGACAAATAGTCTCGAAAAGCGTAAAGTACAGAGACATGTCCTTGTCCATGCACCATCCCAGGATGACAACCAGTGGCGTGACGAAAATAGCTGTTGGAATGGTCAGAATGTGCACGTGTAGACATGTCATCAGGAGTAGATGGAGTCTTACCAATTTGAATACTACTACCAACAGAAACACCAATCGACAGGTCCATCTTGTTCTTAGTTGCGACACTGACGGCAGTGACGTGCTCAGCTGCATTTCCGACAATAGGCAGGATAATGAGACCAATGAACGCTTCACTGACGCTTGAGCTTGCGATCATCTCGGGAATAGCGTCAACCAAGAATTCAGCGCAAACCGCTACCAAAGCAGTGGACAGCAGGAGCATGACAACAGCAGCGGTACGTGACATTTCGGGTTCCGGGGCTTGAGAAGCTGTCTCCGGACCTACAACATCATTTTGATTGGTTAGACGAGAAGCACCGCGGGCGAACTGCACTGCGTTTCCGGCCAGCGGAGGACGGCTAATATGTGCGGGGAGCGAGTTGCTTCGAGAGATTCCTGGGCGCGAGGCAGTGGCTCCAATACTGGGTGAACCCGCTGGTGACTGGGAGCTGAAAACAGTGTTGGAAAGCAAAGACGGGATAGGTCCGAAAGGAGAACGGCGTCTCCGGGGATCATCCGCTGCACCTTCACAGCCAGCGATGTTAGGGGTGGATTGTAATCCCTTGAGGGCCGGACGTTGATCGGACGAAGGACCGCTGTCCTCGGGTGCCTCGATCTGGGCTTTCTTCTCTTCTTTCTGGGCCTTGCGCCTCTTATGATCCCGTTTCTTCGACTTCTTACTAGCTTGGCTGTCCATACGGCTCAGAGCCAAACCAAAGTCGCGAGAACGGACTTCGGAAGAGGGCTGAACGTCGTCGTCGGCATCGTAACGAATTTCGTCGCTAAGCTCAATCGAGTGTTCATTGCTGCCAATGGAGTTGGAGATGGAGCCCTGATTTTCATTGGAAGTCGATGCCATAGGCTTTTTCTGGAAGGAGTTACGAGAGGTTGTCCCTCTTGAGCTTGTACTTAACTTTCGGTGTCTGCGATACTTCATTGCTCTTTTGATCCGTTTCGCGGTAGTCCAGGAAGTCGTAGTGTCATCCGACTCATCACTGGAGCTAGATGAAGAGTCCGAAGAGCTGTTCATGAATTCTGCCAAAACACCAGGTTTCGATTCTTCATCAATGATGGCCTGTGGGATACTCGCGTAGAGATACGAGTGTGTCCTCAGCTGGAAGATGATGTAGAGAATATACACCAACAGAAGAACGACACTGGTACCACGACTAACTTTGAGTGTCTCGTGATCGGCGTCTGTGCTATCCGACCACGAGGCGTGGAAAGCAGTTGGCAAAAGGAGACTGACCACGCTCAAACTGAGCAGACAAGCACTCATCTGAGTGACCGTACTGTTGTAGATCTGTTCTCGGAAGCGAAGGCCACCAGCGAGGAACGCCATACCCATTATCAACAACAGATTGGCGAGAATGGAGCCGAGGAGAGAAGCTTGAACGATGCGAATCTCATTCTTGACTAGGGCGATGATGAAGATGATCAATTCGACTGCGTTTCCGAAAGTTACATTGATCAGGGCTCCGATGGTGTCACCTAGACGACTAGCGACACTCTCCGTGGCATGACTGAGCAGTCCAGCCAAGGGAATAATGGCCACTGCATTCATCGCGAAGATGATGGCTGGGTTGAGACCCGCAGCCTCACAGGCAATACCCACCGGTACGAAGATCAGCAGGACATTAATCCAGCTGTGGCAGATAGCGTCTGCGGTATGGTGGTAGAAACGGCCGGAGCCATTTCGCATACGGATCAGAAGACCCGGCTTTGAGTTGTTTTCCGTCTCGGACCCCGGAGTAGGGTCCTCCACTGGCACATTCACTTGTCCATGTTGAGGAGGTTTTTCGGTATTAACAGGGTCGGCGGCCTGTTGAGAAGGAGTCTGATCTGGCAGGCCGCTAGAAGACGCGTGAGCTCTCGCCCACGAGTGAATCCGGTCTGCAGAAAAGAAAATTGTTAGCCATACGAAAGAGTGGAGATAAGATCTCGGGATAGCTATAGCTATAGCTATAGCTTTGAGCCCTCCCTGGATGATACTTACGCATGTATTTCAGAGAGAAAAGACGAATGAAAGAAGGCAACAAGCCTTTGATGATAAGACAGTAGATGAAGACAGAAAAAGTGAAGTCGACAGTTGACACGCGAGTTTTGCAGTCACTTAAGGGGGAATCTTGGAATCTTGGAACGGACCAGGCTTATTTAGGTAAAGGCTTGGCAACTTGGCATGATGATTTTCGAACGCCACTTTTCTTGTGTCTTTTTTAGTCTCAGCCCTGGAGATCACCATTACCCTTCCAAGGAATGCTTGAGATAATCTTGGACATACGAATACATTCTCAACCTCGCGTCGCCTTTCGTCACCATACACTATATCCCTAGCATGATTTTAATCCTCACATCCTCCAGGGGCTACTCTGTATATTGGGCCTTAATATGTGACGCGTTCTACGAATCTCCCTATAAGGATGCCAAGGCTGAGAGACGGGAAAACCGGGTCCATTACCTAGCAGGTCAACATTATTGGTGAATCATTGTTTGGATCGACCGTCAGACTGCCATATTTGGGTGTTATTATAATTGGCACTGAGGGCTTGTTTTCGCTTATTCTCGTGGGTGAATGTCACACCTCTGGACAGGCACTTTCAAGACACGACATCGATGTACGATGAGTGTTGTATGTGTGTGCTGTTATACTCCACCGGTGACTGGGAATGAGGTCATGTGTATGTATTTTCGGAACGGCTTCACGCAATACAACACATGCATTTTGATACAGTGGATGTTAGGTCTGCTTCGCCTCTCCGTGTTTTAGTCGTGGAGTTTCAGCCCCACAACTCCATATCTGCACTTGTGGCTGTGTCACTAGCTATTGCCACAATATGCATCATTGGATGTCACAGGTGTTTCCTCGAACTAACTCACTGATTGATACTGATAGCCTGCATGTACCGAAACGAGGTAACTTGGTATCCTAAACGCGACACCTTGAGAACACAATGTATACAATGTAGTCTTGGGGGCGCGTCCATCTACATCGATCTACATATCAAGAAGATGAACGTGACTGGCTCATTTCTTTTGGAGGTCTTCGGCAGCTGAGGGTCAAGTAGCAGTGCCTAATCCTGGGAAAAAAAAGATTCCTTCATCACAAATCAATCTTGGATCTGTGGGAAATATCTGCTCCGCCGTCTGACAGCATGCATTTTCATAATGTCCACAGTGTGCCAAAATCACTCCCAAGCCCCAGCAAGGCCATCCCAAATCGCCCATCCCCTAAATAAGCCCCAATATCATGCATCAAACAAGCAAATTTGAGATTGACGGATGTCAAAAAAGGAATGGTTACATCACATGTTCATACATGTATGAACCTTGGAATGTATATAAATGCGATGGGGCATGCAAGATGTCGATGAGCCCAATCCGCAAACCAATCAGAAGCACCCGCAGGGGGTAACGAGGAAGCTTGATTGTCTGCATAACAAACTTCACGCTGATCATTTCTATTCAAAGAACGAGCTTGCATGGGGTAAACTGTTAGACGAGGACTTGATCGGGATAGCACATCTTTTTCGACCACTACTGTGCCATTTCTCTGTGGCTATAGCGAAGGGCCAGCTGCCTACTATCCCTCATATGGAGGATTCGGTATTCTCCGTATTTGTGTCGTTAGATATGCTTAGGGCTGTTGTGAGCTTTAGTCTGCGGATTTGATTATGTGTCTGCCATTTAAGCCTCCCTTCTTGCCGTTGTGTTTCATGTACAGACTGAGGATCTGTCGGAAAGCGTCAAGCTGATGCTACACATACATTCTGTATTTTCCAGCAGACTTCTCTATCTCGATTGTGGACATTGGTGACATTAATACATTCTCAACTAAATACATCCATCAGCCTCGGCGTCTACAAGAGTTTGTACTTCGTAGCCGCGGCGATGCAAATGACCATGAATGCCGCAAAAGAACCAAGGATACCAAAAAACCACGCCAGCCCATCAGTATCCTGGCCCGGAACAGGAATATTCATTCCCCACAAGCCCGTAACCAGGTGACACGGCACGAAGATCGTAGCCAGGAGAGTAACCTTACTCAAGCCAGAGTTGATGGTTAAACTCAACCGGAGATTGGTAGCGCTCACCTGGGCTAGATAATTAGCCTGGGACCGACCAATAATCTCATCGATGTGCCCAAGTGTCGACAACGTCGTGACTAAATGGTCCTGGACATCGCCGAGATATAGAAGCAAGTCACCGTCAGGGAAAACGGGGTGCTTATCGGGAGATTGGCAACGCTTCACGAATCCGTTTAACACATCGACCTTGCCGTTGAGGCAGCGGATTATGTGGGTGATCTTCTTGCGGAGGGCGTCGACCTGCGGAATAAGAGCTTGAGCGTCATCGATACGACTGATGAACACTTGATCCTCGATTGCTTCAGACTCGCACTCCGCATCCCGAACAAATGGCTCGAAGCTGTCGATGATGTCGTCTCTGGAGATGAATTAGCCGTAAATCCATAAAAGGGAGGGGTTGGTGAGTAGGAATTTGATTAAACACACATCATTGCATAGCAGACCCAGTCACTAGTCAATATAGTGGGATCATGCATTTTGCGAATTCGCTCTCGCGCCCGAGTCACATGTCCACAACCACTAGGCGAGAAGGTGACCACGCCATATTGGAAGACAAGAATGTATAATGCAGCCGAGATAGGAATCCCCTGTCGCTCGGTTTTGACCGTGTTGGCCACGAGGGTTTGGAACGAGATCAGGTAGTAATTCTTGTAGACGTCGACTTTCTCTCGAGGCTCACGAATAGCAATATCCTCTGCCGTCAGGGGATGGATAGACAAGGCTTGGGAAACGGCGTCGACATCTTGTTCAGTGGCATCGCAGATGTCGATCCACCAGATTGGTTGGTTTGGATCTGGGCGACTTTTATGCTTCTCCTGGAAGATATGATCGATGTTTCCGCTAGGGAAAAGACCATCCCAGGTAGACGAGGCGGTCGCTTGTCGCGTTTTCGATGAAAAGAAGCTGAACCGATCAGGCAGCGGCTGGTCGATTTCCAGCTTCTCTTCTTGTTTGGTCTGCATCTTACTGGTTGTGTACCAGAACAGAGGCGGGTGAAATGGTTGGTACCCTGAACAGTTGATCTGAGGCCATCAGATATTGATCGGGGTGTTCTTTGGGGAGTGCTGCTCCGTATTCTAGAAATATCGAACTTCCATGAATAAAGACAACGAATCTGTTCAGCCCATTATATTTCCTCGAATTGGACTCTCGAGGATATGGGATTTGATAGGGGGATTTCTATTGAGAAATTTTTCTCGAGGGTGTTCATAGGTGGAGGAAAAAACCCGGGGAAAGAGAAAGGACCCCTTTGACCACGTGAAACGCATGCCAGCCCTACCCGAAGCCGCATGCACACCAGGGAAAGACCTCGGGATGAGTCAAACAGGTGCCAAGTTAGTATAATTTACACATCCAATCATTTTGGGATAATGGAGGACCTTGGGGTTTTCGATACCGGAACAGTTCCGAAATTGCTAGGCATCTACGTTATACATAGGCCCATTTTTAATAATGTCGCCGAAAAATAAAATGTTTCTAGAATGGTATGATCATGATCTTCATACATATAGTTCTCGAGAACCCGGATAGCTGTAAATCAAAAACATGAAAAGTCCAAACTCCTTTTTTACTGTAACCAATATATAAGCCAGAACGCCTTCGAAATACTATGCTCTCTGCACAGCGCCATCAATCCGAGACAAAGAGAAGCGTCAATACATTTTCGTGGACTTGGTAGTCGGGGTTGATATTACACGCAGATAACGCCTTAAGACACGTTAGTCATTGAACGTAACCGAGCACATTGAATATGGTCATACCATGCTGCGATCATCATTCAATCTTTGATCTCCGACTGCTGAGACTCCTCCTTTTCACAGTCAAGGCTGTACGACTTTCGCAACCGTGGATACACCAGCCCAAAGAATACGACGACCGCTAGCAGAATAACAAATGTAGGTAGAAACATGAAAATAAAGAGGAAGATGCTCAATCCGAAGGTGAAATTCTGCCCACGAGCAAACCGACGGGCCATGATCTCCAGGATCGAGTACATACGGGAGCCAAACCGCTAGAGACGCGAATAATTGGTTCAGTCAATTCAGGAAAGAAGAAAGATTGGAGAAGTGATCTCATTGCGATCGGCCCCGGTCGCGCATGTTACCCCATATATATACCTATAGTTACAGCGATGGAAGCGCCGGTACCATATCCCCAACATTGTGGCTTATGGCACCGTTTTTTTTTTTTTAGCAAAAGCTGTGTATTCCGTATTCCGTAATCCGTAATCCGTCATCCGTCATCCGTAATCCATGCTTGTGAATGTGGATGCCTGTATGGATTCAAGTTTTTCTAACCTCCACTCTTGGCACCAATATTATTCTCAGATACGTTGAAAACTTTCACCGCAAATGGTAGATCTCCAATAAAATGTGGATTTCCCATTAAAATCATCGAAAATCACGGATTTGGGCCGGGGCTTGGCGTCAAGTTGTAGGCAACAGCATTTTGCTCAACATTTTCTCCCCTGCCAAGGAGATTGCGTACAATCCTTTATACGGAGTACTCTGCCCTACGAAAGTCTGATGAAATAGTAAACATCCCGGCAATTTGTATTGGAAGGGGAACATGGCGCTTTCACCGATTCACGAAGCCTTCGCATTGTTCAGCCCTAGCCAATTTCCACCAATCAGACAACTACACGCGCCCATAGTGGATCCATGTGCAATCATCCCTAGGAACACTCCGTTGGGTCAGCTGGCACTGTGCATGTGCAGGTGTTTAATCCGCTCATTCGAGTATTTCCCAAACTTTGCCCATTGAAATTCGACAAAGTAAGGGGGACACGGGAGAGAAATGGCGGAACCTGCGTGTCATTGGATGGAACACCGGATCCTAGAATAAAATCTCCCTCATAGGGCTGAAGCTTGACTTGCGGGGCTGATTCGCGTTCCCGGAAGCGTGTAACTGTAGGACTCGGATGGGAATTAAGGAATACAATCGTGTAATTCACGTAATTTTGACTATACAACGTAATCGTATTGGAGAGGTTTTAGGTTGCAGTTGAAAGGGTAGAGCTGTATGATCAGCAGTTCTCCAAGGGTAAAGATGATGCATACCGTATATCCGTACCCCCCTCCCCCTGTGGAGTGGAACTAGAATAGAATGAAATCGAACACTTAATATAGTACCTAGGTAATAGTGTAATAATCCTGACCTTGGAAGGCAATCTTCCCCCACATCTTTCCCTTTCGACTTTTACAGATGTAACGTGTTTAACCACTTTAACCACTTTAACCACACCCATTCGACTGCGCACTCTTCTCAGGCCACACCTAGCTTCCCAACATGTCTTGGCTTGCGGGGTATGGCACTAGTGATGAAGATGATAACGACAACCTGGGCGTGGATTGGGTACTACAATATGAGTTTGGAGATATTGGTAAGTGACGTGCCTGCATGGTTTATCCTTGGCCTTCTGCATATACTGACGATCACCAGATCAAGCACAAGCTATTACAGAGTTTCGAACGCTTATCCACGACCTGGGCGAGGCTGGTCTTCGGGTTCAGGTTCGTCACGGCCACGGTGAAGCGCTATTAGTTTGCATTCGGGTTCCGCGGGATCATCTCGGGAATTTAGTACACCAGTCAAGGTAAGTGGGAAGGGATCTTGAATATTAGAGAATTTTATCTTTCGATGGTCAATTAACAATCCGCAGAATTAAAGATTGGCTGTTCGGGATTACCCATACCTTACCGGATGGCGACGAAACTGCTATCGCCGACGCCGAAACACCATCCGAAGAGATCCGGTCGGTATACCACGCCGTCACCTGGCAAAAGAAAATAGGAGGCGCAGGCATCACGCCAGGTTTTGGAAAATGGAAGAACATCACTGCCTCTTTTCCGTTGCACGATCAGGAGGCCAGTGCGCAAATGCTGCGCCAATGGAATCGAAAAACTGTATTGACGACTAGCGATCTGGATGCAATTCGAGCCTTATTCGGCGAAAAGGTATTGTTTCAGCTCGGTATGCTACGTTGGGATATTGTGAGCTAACCTTGTGTAGGTCGCTTTCTACTACGCTTTTATTCATTGCTATTCGTTATTCCTCGTGGTGCCCGCAGGATTGGGCATTCTTGGATGGCTATATCTAGGTCCATATTCTATTGTATATGGAACTGTACTTTGCGTCTGGTGCATTGTGTTCGTCGAGTACTGGAAGATTCGAGAGGCTGATTTAAGTCAGAGATGGGGTGTCAAAGGCGTTGGACGACTTAAGGTGAATCGCAAGCAGTATATGTGGGAGAAAGAGGTCACGGATCCAATCAGTGGTCAAGTGAAACATGTCTTCCCCGGTTGGAAGCAGTTCTCACGCCAACTGCTTTTGGTTCCTTTCGCTTCTGTCGCAAGCGTCGCCCTCGGAGCGTTGATTGTCGCATCCTTCGCATCGGAGGTGTTCATATCTGAGGTATACGATGGTCCATTCAAAGAGTATCTGGAGTTCGTACCGACTGTCCTATTTTCGCTATCCTTGCCCGCCATAACCTCGTTTCTCACAAGCATCGCAACCCGCTTGACCGACTATGAGAACTACCGAACGCAGGATCAATACGATCTTGCCCAGACACAAAAGGAATTCGTCATGAATTTTATTACCTCTTTCCTCCCCACGATATTGACCGCCTATGTCTATGTTCCCTTCGGCAAACAAATCGTCCCACATCTTGACATCCTCCGAAGAACGGGGCTCAGGGCCGACTTGGTCACCGGGCAGAAGGAATTCGAGGTTGATACAAGCCGATTCCAACAAGAGGTGATATATCTATCCATGACGGCTCAGGTAATTAGCTTCGGCGAGGAGGTCATCCTACCATATGTGAAGCATGTCTTGAGGCAAAAATGGCAAAACTATCGGGATAGCAAGGCAGTATACACCCGCACGCGGAAGCATTCCACAGTGACAGGCCTATACTTGATTGACTCGCCAGAGGAAGTGTCATTTATGACAAGACTGCGTAGCGAGGCCGGCGCAGAGGAATACCATGTGGAGGAGGACATCATGGAGATGTGTGTACAGTTTGGCTATCTCGCATTATTTGGAGTTGCTTGGCCACTGGTGCCTCTCGGCTTCCTGCTGAACAACTGGCTGGAGCTGCGAGGTGATTTCTTCAAGCTCACGCTGGAGTGCCAACGACCACCACCAATCCGGTCGGACTCGATCGGCCCATGCTTACTGGGGCTGGATTTCTTAGCCTGGCTGGGAACTCTATCTACAGCAGCCATTGTGCATATCTACCGAGGTCCTATTTCCGAGGTACGGCTCTCCTCTCTTCTGTTGACGTTGTTCATTGCCGAGCAGGTCTACCTGGGAATGCGATTCACTGCCTCTACAGCCCTTGAGAAAATATTTTCGGACACGATCCGCAGAGAAGAGGCTGGTCGGTATGCAGTGCGCAAGAATTATCTTGCTGCTAGTCTGGCGAGAAACTCTTCCCCCAGTTCTGGCTCCCAGGGCTCGCCAAACGGTCGGCCCCGTCACCGGGTGCGTTTCAACGAACGAGTCAATGTATACAGCTCGAGCGAGAAAGACCCATCCACTGACGGTACTCCCTCCCCGACCAAAGAGGAACCGGGGAATGATGTGCTTCGGGGATCCGACCGTGAGGCCCAGTTCTGGAGCACGCATTCAGCGGACATGGCAGACGCAGGCGTCAAGCTAATTCGCGCATTAAGCACACCCAAAGCAGGGGATGAAGGTAAATCTTCTAAAGAGGCATAGATATTCTCAGCTGCATGTATTTTTAGACCGTATTTTCAGTTTCTATTACATTGCTGCCTGGGGTTTTTCTGTATTGATCGTCCACTAGATTGGCCGTATCATCTAAACGCAAGTATTGAGAGTTGAAGGATCATACCTGTGGGGACTCATTTCCACTAGTCAATTTATTTCACTAGTATGGAGTACGTAGTAGAAAATTGAATATTACACCCCAGATGTACACAATGGTCTGCAAAAGTATACTCTCAGCCCTATAGGGCTACGCCAAGGCCGGCCAATCCACCCAGCTTTGAAGGCCCGGGGGTGATTCCCTGGTTTTACCCGCTTGCGTGTCTTTTCCTCTTTTCTTTTTTATCTCTTTGTGCCTTTGTCCCTTTCGCTCTTTAGCTCTTACCCTGTGCTACTCTTACTCCTTGTTTTTAGTTTAATTTCCATACAACCCTCTGAACCTGGTTGTAAAGGGCATCGGCATGGATAGCCCCGTGTGAGCTTCTCCTTCCTCTGGTCCCCCGTCTACGACTTTTACAATGGTGACCCCTACCAATTCCTCTGACACTCTAATTACTCCTCCATCTCCCGTCCACGTCTCACAATTGACCCCCAAGCCCACAACGATCGCCATGGAGATGGACTCCCTATCACCGGCAAAGTCCCCACCACCCGTGGTCCCGAAACTCCTCCGTGAAGCCAGTGACATCACGTGGCAGGAATCCCTAGAATCAAAAAAAGGCGAGGTTGTGCTAGTCCGGCGAGGTGGACGATTCTGCCTATTACACCAGCAGCAATTCAAAAACAGCTTGCTCGCCAGTGTCGGATACCTCGAGCTAGCTAACGCCGCTGACTTCGCTGCCAACGTCTGGAACCAGATCCCCGTTCCGAAGTTTGCCGCTGTGCTTATGGGAATTGGTGGAACACTGGCCTTGGGAATGGTGTTGGTTGCTATTTATGATTTTCGACTGAGCTGGACAAACGTCAAGCTACTACGAGCGGAGCGGGATCACCTGCAGCGTCTGCGGCAAGACCACAGCAGAAATACAGAGCTCGGCCCACTCATTGACAGCCGGCTGGGGGTTGGACTGCGTGAAATTGGCACCGAAGTGATCGACCGGATCGTCATGGATGTGTTGATGGGATTCGGCTCGTTGTTGGTCGGTGTTGGCACTTTGATGGCCATTGGCGGCGCCAACCCTCACGTCTTCAAAGCCAGTAATCTACTTTCTGGCTATATTGGGAATGGTCTCGCTGCAGTGT